ACACAACGGGGCCACGCACGGGCCCTGCAGGGCCCCTGGTCCGAGCAACGCCACGAGGCCTCGCCAGGCCGCTGCGGGGGTCTGCAGGGCCCGGCGGCGTTGCTCGGCAGGTCCTTTCGGGACTGCTGCGGAGCCCCATACAGGCCCCAAAGGGCGCACCCCTCTCACGGATCGTGGCCCTGGCCCCACAGGGAGCTCCACCGAGGTTTGATTTGGGCACACCCCTCTCGAGGATCGTGGCTCAGTGAGCTCCACCGAAGCTTGGTTTCGGCGCACCCCTCTCAAGGATCGTGGCCCTGGCCCCACAGGGGGCTCCACCGAGGCTCCATTTCGGCACACCCCTCTCGAGGATCGTGGCCCTGGCCCCACAGGGAGCTCCACCGAACTTTGATTTCGGCGCGCCCCTTTCACGGATCGTGGCCCTGGCTCCACAGGGAACTCCACCGAGGCTTTATTTCGGCACACCCCTCTCGAGGATCGTGGCCCTGGCTCCACAGAGAGCTCCTCGGAGGCTTCATTATGGCACACCCCTCTCGGGGATCATTTTGGCACACCCCTCTGCAGGGTCCTGCACGATTCCATCGGAACCGTAGAGGGAGCCTATAGGATCCTTACAGGGTCCTGCACGGTTCCCTCGGAATCCAATAGGGATCCCATAGGATCCTTACAGGGTCCTGCACGATTCCATCGGAGTCCTATAAGGCGGAACCTGTAGGATCCTTACAGGGTCCTGCACGATTCCATCGGAGTTCTATAAGAAGGAACCTATCGGATCTTTACAGGGTCCTGCACGATTCCATAGGAACACCTTATAGGGATCCCATAGGATCCTTACAGAGTCCTGCACGGTTCCATCGGAATCCTATAGGGATCCTATAGGATCCTTACAGGGTCCTGCACGACTCCATCGGGACCCTAGAGGGGTTCTATAGGATCCTTACAGGGTCCTGCGCGATTCCACAGGAACCCTGGAGGGATCCTATAGGATGCTTACCCATAGGAACCCTATAGGGATCCCAATAGGATCCTTAACAGGGTCCTGCACGATCTCATAGGAACCCTATAGGGATCCCATAGGATCCGTACAGGGTCTTGCACGATTCTATAAGAATCCTATACGGGGTCTTATAGGATCCTTACAGGGTCCTACAGGATTCCATCGGAACCCTATAGGGATCCGATAGGATCCTCACAGGGCCCTGCAGGATTCCATCGGAACTCTATAGGTTTCCTATAGGATCCTTACAGGGTCCTGCACGATTCTGTAGGAACCCTATAGGGATCCTATAGGATCCTTACAGGGTCCTGCACGGTTCCATAGGAATCCTAGAGGGATCCTATAGGGTCCGTGCAGGGTCCTGCACGATTCCATAGGAATCCTAAAGGAATCCTATAGGATCCTTACAGGGTCCTGCATGATTCCATAGGAGTGCTATAAGGAGGAACCTGTAGGATCCTTACAGGGTCTTGCACGATTCCATCGGAACCTCAGAGGGATCCCATAGGATCCTTACAGAATCCTGCACGTTTCCATAGGAATCCTAGAGGGATCCTATAGGATCCTTACAGGGTCCTGCACGATTCCATCGGATCCCTAGAGGGATCTTCTAGAATCCTGACAGGGCCCAACAGGTTCCCATTGGAACCTTATAGGGATCATATAGGATCCTTACAGGGTCCTGCACGATTCTATGGGAAGCCTATATGGGGTCCTCTAGGATCCTTACAGGGTCCTGCACGATTCCATAAGAACCCTAGAGGGATCCTATTGGATCCTTACAGGGTCCTGCACGATTCCATAGGAACCCTGGAGGGATCCTATAGGATCCTTACAGGGTCCTGCACGATTCTATAGGAACCTTATAGGGATCTCATCGGATCCTTACAGGGTCCTACAGGATTCCATCGGAACCTTCATAAAGGTCCGATAGGATCCTCACAGGGCCCTGCAGGATTCCATCGGAACCCTCTAGGGATCTTACAGGATCCTTACAGGGGTCTGCACGATTCCATAGGACCCCTATAGGGATCCTATAGGATCCTTACAGGGTCCTGCACGGCTCCATAGGAATCCTATAGGGATCCTATAGGATCCTTACAGGGTCCTGCACGATTCCATAGGACCCCTAGAGGGGTCCTATAGGAACCTTACAGGGTCCTGCACGATTCCATGGGAGTCCTATAGAAGAGGAACCTCTAGGATCCTTACAGGGTCCTGCGCGATTCCATAGGAACCCTAGAGGGATCCCATAGGATCCTTACAGGGTCTTGCATGATTCCATAGGAACCCTAGAGGGATCCTATAGGATCCTTACAGGGTCCTGCACGATTCCATAGGAACCGTAGAGGGATCCTGTAGGATCTTTACAGGGTCCTGCACGATTCCATCGGACCCCTATAGGGATCCTATAGGATCCTTACAGGGCCCTGCACGATTCTATAGGAACCCTTGAGGGATCCCATAGGATCCTTACAGGGTCCTGCACGATTCCATAGGAACCCTGGAGGGAGCCTATAGGACCCTTACACGGTCCTGCACGATTCCATAGGAACCCTAGGTGGATCCTATAGGATCCTTACAGGGTCCGGCACGATTCCATAGGAATCCTATAGGGATCCTATAGGATCTTTACAGGGTCCTGCGCGATTCCGTAGGAGTCCTATGAGGAGGAGGAGCTGGCCTCGCTGGCGCGTGGTCGGTTTTCGGACACAGGAGTGCGTGGGGAACAGTAAGGGAGCCAACGGAGATTCGGAAACACATATAGATTTTCGTTAGCGTATGACAGAGGTGTTGCGCGTTGCTCCCCCCCCCCCCCCGGGGCAACAACTGCAACGTGTGGCCTGGGGCAGTGCGCTCGCCCCGGGGGCGAGGACACCCACGGGCCCCGCCGGGGTGGCCTGAGAGAGTGTCCTTGCGTTGTTGTTGTTGTAGGTGTTGTTGTTGTTGTTGCTGCTGCTGCTGCTGCTGCTGTTGTTGTTGTTGTTGTTGTTGTTGTTGTTGTTGTTGTTGTTGTTGCTGTTGCTGCTGCTGCTGCTGCTGCCGCTGCTGCTGCTGCTGCTGCTGCTGCTGCTGCTGGTGTGGTCACTGTTGTTCAGCAGAAACGATTCCGCCCGCTCTTGCCTCGACGCCGGCTACATTTTTTTGAAAATGAGGCTACTGCCCGAGCGTTGGCTTGAGTGTAATGTGGGCCTTGGAGGCCCAGCGATGACGACACCAGCTCCCGCTCGATACTTCCTGACAATTTACCCCGAGACACCCTGGCCAGAGAGGCCCCCGAACTCAGAAACGGCGCTCTCGCTCGAGACTGTCTCATGATTCAGTCAAATTGGTGGAGGCCCAACTGCGAGGACAAGAACTCTCGCTCGATACTTTCTCAAGTCGCAGAGGCCCTTGCCAGAGAGGCCCCCGAACTCAAGAGTGGCGCTCTCGCTCCAGAATTTCTCCCAATTCAGGCAAGCTGGCAGAGGCCCAGACACGGTGACAAGGGTTCCCTTTCGATGTTTCTCAAGCTGTCTTCCGAGAGCACCTGGCATGGCCAGAGAGGCCCCTGAACTCAGGAACGACGCTCTCGCTCGAAAGGTTCTCGCAATTCAGTCAATGGCCGACAAGGAAGGTATTC